CGCCGGGAGCCCGCCCCTGGAAGCCCCGCCCCTGGAAGCCCCGCCCCCACGGACCCGCCTAGGGGATTTTCCAAGCAAGCTCCTGGTCCCGGTCCTGGACACCCCGGCTCCGCTGGCCAATCGCCGGGCTAGTCTTGCGGCGACCTGCGGAGCAGCGACCCGGAAGCTGCAGTCGGTGATCTCCGGTAAGAGTCCTTCCTCTCCTCATTCATTCATAGATTCACTGTTCAGAAGGGGTGTTTGTTCCGCGCCTGCTAGATGCCAGTCACTCTTCTAGATTTGGGGGATTTAGTTTCTCTTACGGAGTTTACAGCCTCGGGGATGGAGAAAGATCATTTACTCGTTCTACAAATATTTGTTTTTATTTTTTAACAGCTTTATTGAGGTGTAACTTATATATCTTAAAATTCACTCACTGTGGGGCTTCCCTGGTGGCGTAGTGGTTGAGAGTCCGCCTGCCGATGCAGGGGACACGGGCTCGTGCCCAGGTCCGGGAAGATCCCACATGCCGCGGAGCGGCTAGGCCCGTGAGCCATGGCCACTGAGCCTGCGCGTCCGGAGCCTGTGCTCCGCAACGGGAGAGGCCACAACAGTGAGAGGCCCGCGTAGCGAAAAATAAAAATAATAATAATAATTCACTCACTGTAATTTCGCGATGATTTTCATTAAATGTAAACAGTTTACACAGCCATCACCACAATCCAGTTTTCGAATCTGTGGAAATACTCTTTGTGCCCATTTGCAGTCAATCCCAGCTCCAATCCCAGGTTCCAGCAACTACTGATCTGCTTTCTGTCTTTAAAGCTCTACAAATATTTCCTAGTGCCAGCTAGATACCAGACACTGTTCTAAGTGCTGGGTTTTACAATCCAGTAGAAAAGACAGGCACCAATCAAGTATCACACAAATATGTAAATTAAAACTGTGATAAGTGTCAGGAAGGGAAAGTGCAAGGAGCAATAAGAAGGTAAAATCAGGGGACCTGATTCAAATCTAACAGAGAGGCCAGAGAAGGCCTTTCTGAGGAAATAACACCCATACTCCCCTTCCTGCTCATCTTCTCCTCAGCAACCAGAGTCCTGAAGCTCTACTGATCATGGGTCCCCTAGCTGGGTGCCGGGGTGATTTAGACTAAGTCTCCCCCCACCCCACCCTGGAAGAGGTTGTTTCCAGAGAAAAGCTACCCATCTACCCAGAAAGGTGGTGAATTAGGAAGTGATGCCAGTGACTTTCATGAGATAATAAAGTACAGCTAAGTCTGTGGCCTCATCAGGATACAGGGATCTCATCAATCTCTTCTCCTTGGCCTTTCCTCTCATCAGGCCCTGGCAGTCCCACCCAAGGGTGTTCTCCCCAGTCCCCCTCCACTCCATCCCCACTGCCACCCCTGCCCTCCTGCAGGACTGACCATCTGATGCCCAGACAACCCAGTCCTTTCTCCACACAGTCCTCTCCTTCACTCACAGCTCTGACCAGGGCCCATCCGGGCCCTAAAACCTCCTGGCTCTCTCTTGCATTCATCTCTCACCACTGTCGTTTTCAGCCATATTTCCTGTCACTCCTTCCAGCCCCAAAGTCCTGGAGTGCCAGCCAAGTAGGGCTCCTGGCCAGCTCCCAAATGCTTCCCATATTTTACCCACCCTATGCTCATGCCATTCCCTCTGCCAGAATGCCCTTTTGCACCATTTCCACCTGTTGAAATTCCAGCCACTTGTCAAGACTCAGCTCAGATGTTGGTTCCTTTGGGAAGCCCCCCAGACTCATCCACGTGTCCCTTCTCCCTACTCAGAGCCCCCTAGCACTTGGTTCCCACCTCTCCCAGGAACCTTATCACATTCTACCCTGCTGTGTACCACTGAGATCCTCCTCAAGCCCAGAGACCATCTGTTATGTCTTTGTGTCTGGAATATAGACTGAGAGTACTTGCTGCTCAGTGATTACAAAACAAATGTGAAATGACTTTCTCCAAGAGGTCCATTTAATTCACAACAGCTCCATGGGGAAACTGAGGTACAGCTAGTAAGTGATGATGCTGACATTGTACTAGGATGCCTCCTAATTACTATGGCAGTTCTCCTAACTGCTAAGCTTCCCCTGGGGAGCGGGGGTCATTCAACTTATCAAAGCCTTCCTAAGCGGAGTCCCTCTCAGGTGCACTGTGAGGACAAGGAAATGAATAAGCCCCAGCCCTGCCCTCGGAGTCTAGTGAGGGAGAAACACAGAAGAAATTCAGCCAGTGACTGGTGCTCTAACAGTTTGGGGGTGGGGGGGCTGGGCAGGAGAGGGGTGTTGATTAGGGAAGGTTCCACTATGGAGATGGCCTTTGAATCAGTCCTTGAAGAAGTCAAAGAGGTCAGCAGCCTAAGATGGGGCGATGAGGAGGGACCGAAGCCAGCAAAGACTTTGAGGAAGAAAAGTGTCAAATTCTCAGAAGCTCGGGTTCTCAGGACTGAAAGGACCTCAGAGGTTTCCCAGTCTAACTCCCATAACAAGGTGCTTCCTGACTCTGGAGCAGCTGGAGGGACGCCGGGAAGACAGAAGCTACCTCCCCCTCAGCTGGGACCCGTTCCCTGAGTCCAGAACTGCCAGCCGCTACTCCTCATACATGTTCCAGAGTTCCTCCAACATGCAGGTCACTCTCCTCTGGACAAGCCCCTTTGTCCTGTCCCTTGCACTTTGTAGTGCCAGAGATCCCATCAGCGAGGTATGTTTGAACTAGACGGTGGGAAAACTTTGCCACTCAGGAGAAGGATCTAGAAGGTGTGCCCTTATTTGTGACTACAGCACTACGCAATCCAGGTGTGCTTCACTCTAAGAAATTTTTTTGTAATCAACATGGCAATTTTTAAATCAGTCAGCAAAATAGGAATATAATTATTCACATACCAAAGGCTTTTAAAAATTTTTTACAAAAGGAACACAAATTTATTTCCACAGAATTTCGCTAGTTTATTTTCCTAACTATTAAGACTTTAGTAAATAAATGGGCAAAGGACCTGAATAATCAGTTCACAGTCAAAGAAACACAAATAAACTTTTTAAATGTCCCACCTTAACCATAATCAAGTACCTGCAAAAATATTTTAAATTTGAAGCTTTTACCCCTTTTATTAGAAAGTGTAAATAAAATGCTAATGTCCTCTACTATCTAATTTATGGTGAAACTGCTGCACTCTTAAGTTTTGGCTGGCCTTATAAACTGCCACAGTCTTTGTGGAAAACAGTTTAGCAAAGTGTCTCAAGAGCTATTAAGTGTTTCTACTCTTTCACTTAGTAAATCCATTCCTGAGACTCAATCCCTTGAGAAATCTCCTAAGAAAAATCCACAAAGACAAAGCCGTCAGCACAAAGATATTCATTATAGGATTATCTATAATTTTTAAAATTAAAACAGAAACAGTCTAGATAATTACAAGGAAATGGTTATGTAATTTAGGGTACATGAATTGAATGGAACACCACACAGCCCTCAAAAGTGATCATTATGAACACTCTTTAGGGTCTCGGTGTCTGTGGTTTAGTGTTCAGGAAAAAAATAGCAAATTTAAAATGTTTGCTGCTATAACTTCTTGCTATACGTGAGCAGAGACTAGCAGGGAGACTACCTCCTCCCAGAGCCTTCCCTCGCTCGATAAAAATCCAGCTGCAATCTCCCAGTTGCTCAGACCACAAGACTTGAAGGTGAGCTCTATTTTCCAGATAGATCCAGAACTGGACACTTCTTCCCGCCTCCACTGCTCCCATCCTGGTCCAAGCCAAAATCATCTCTTGCCTGAATCAATGCAGTAGCCTCTAAACCCATCTCCCTGCTTCCACCCTTGCCTTCTTACAGTCCATCTCCTGCCTTAGGGATTCTGTTAAAACATATCTCTGGTATGAAGAATGCTGACATCTTCCATTTGTTGTGTTTTAGTTCTATAAAGAGCTCAAAGATGTTGTTATGTGTATCCCTTGAGGCAGAACCAGGACCCTGCCCCAAGGCTGCACTATTGTTTCTTGGCTCCTCCTCCCTTGTCTCTGCATCCCCTTCCTTCCCTGTTTAGCAACTGTCTGAATCTGCCCTTTGGAACTCAGGGAAGGTCATGGAGGCTGGAGTCTGTTCCCTACAAACAAGCAACGGGGGATGCAGAAAGTCTTCCGTGCCCAGGAGCCCCACAGGGTCCTGCTCAGTTTCACTGCCCCCTCTCTTTTCTCATCTCCCACCACTTTCCCCTTCATCACTCTCTTTTAGATATACTTGCCTCCTTGCTGTTCTTTGATCAGACCACACTTTGTCCCACCTCAGGGCCTTTGCACTTGCTGTTCCCAGTGCCTGTAATGCTCTTCCTCATGGCTTGCTCCCTTGGCTATTCCTCATCCCCCTACCACCCCAGACCCTGGCAACCACCAATCTACTTTATGTCTCTATGTCTTTGCCTACACTGGGCATTTCATATAAATGGAATCATACAATTTGTGCTCTCTTGTGATTGGCTTCTTTCACTTAGAAATTAAATAACGTTTTCAAGATTTATCCATGTGTATAGGAAAAACCTTGGTTCTTTTCCTCCTGTGTCTTTCCTAACTTTTACACTACTGCCACACTCATAACACTTCTGACACTTCCAGTCACCAAATGTGTGTGGGAGGGTGTTCCCCACCAAGCAATTCTCTGTGACACCAGCTGGGTGTCCTACAATTTAACTCAATTCTGACACTATATACCTCGAGACAGTGTCAGATCCCACAAGTTAAGGGCTCAGTCCTACAAGATTGCTCCCACCCCACTTCAGATGACAGTCGCAAGTCCAGGTTGTCACCTGTGCTTCTGACCCATTGAATTTAAATGTGAAGTTACTATGACCTTCTCCTCAGTTTTGATTAATTTGCTGGAGTGACTTCACAGAACTCTGGAATATATTTACATGCATCTACTACTCCTTTATTAAAGGATATGATAAAGGATACAGATGAACAGCCAGATGAAGAGACACATAGGGTAAGGTCTGGGAGGGTCCTGAGCACAGGAGCTTCTGTCCCTGTGGATCTGGGGTGCATCATCCTCCCAGTACACAGATGCATTCACCAACCTGGAAACTCTGTGAACCCCACACTTTCAGGATTTGTATGGAGGCATCATCACATAGGCATGATGGATCATTAATTCCATTTCCAGCCCTTCTCTCTTCCTGAGAGAATGGGGAGCAGGACTGAAAATTCCAAGCTCTAATCATGGTGCCAAAATACAAAATTCAACTGAGGAAATTTGAAAATCTAATTGACTCTATTCAGTGATTGATGAATCAGGCTGCATCCCATCTAGGAAATCCCATCTAGGAAATAGAGAGTACAGGTGTGTGTCTCCTCCACAAGAGGAGACACATACCTGTACTGTGAGCCTCTCAGTCCCTGCTGATCTGTCCATCCCACACAGAGCCACTCGCAATGTTTACTGACCAAACAGATGAACTGACTGACCCCACTCTTCAGTGGCATTTGGAGAGCAATTCTGCACAGCCACTGCCCCTCGAAGTTCCAGGGCTCGCCAAGCTTCTACACTGAAAACTGAACTCATCACTCTCCCCACTAAACTTCCCTCCCTCCTCTGTTCCCCATCTCAGCCAAGGGGTCACCCTCAACCCCTTCATCATTCAGAAAAGATTCTCTGTGCAGCTACTGTATTCCAGGCCTGTGCTAGGCACAAGGGAGGAAGCGGTGACACAGGGGAGGTGAAGTCCCTGCCCTCTAAGGCTTTAGCGTGGTTCTCAACACTGTCAGCTAGGATCCCCCCATGCCCTTTAATAAATATTTTGAATATGCTCCGCTTTAAATTCATGGATATTATAACCTACTTACACATGTAATGAAAAGACAAAATCAATATAATATAATGAATATAAAAGGGAAATAAAAGGAGCATTAGAATAAAATGTGTTTCAATCTGTAAATGCTTAGGCCTAATACACCAGAGACGTAATAAAGCAGTCACGTGCTTGCACCTACTTAGGACAAAGAAATCTGGATTTAAGGGATGTAAGACGATATTCAGGCAATACTTTATTTTTGGCATTTGAAAGTAAGAGCTTCAAAAGTAGAGTTTTGGGCTTCCCTGGTGGCGCAGTGGTTGAGAGTCCACCTGCCGATATAGGGGACACGGGTTCGTGCCCCGGTCCGGGAAGATCCCACATGCCGCGGAGCGGCTGGGCCCGTGAGCCATGGCCGCTGAGCCTGCGCGTCCGGAGCCTGTGCTCC